GTCCATGTCTCTGACAAAGATGTTGAAGAGTCACATGCCTTTACACATTTCCATGAAAGATAACCTTTCATCCCAAGTGTACATATGCACTTGTTATCAGTTATGACCTTTGCAACGCACCGAGGGGAAAACCTTCATGTGATCTGTCTGCAGAACTGAAACTACTGCTACCCACACCCCACCATCAGAGAGGCTTTTGGAGACCCCAGACACTAAGAGCACACCAGCACTGAGACACCAACATATGCCACACAAAACAGACAGCAAATGCCATTTCAAAAGGAAAAAAGGTAAAACAGAGGCCTGAAGATAACTAGTTTGGGGAGGGATTGGCATGGCTGGGGATGGGAAGACCTTTCGCAAGCTTGCAGCAGATCTGGGATAAAAGCTGGATCTCTGCAGTCCCTGTCAATATGCCTTGGTCACAGATCACAGGCAGCTGCAAGGCACAGGTCAGCAGCGGAGCAGCTGCACAGTCCTGTCACCACCAGCTCTAGATTTCCCCTGCACATGCTAAAAAACCTTGCTAAATCACTTCACAGTCTGCTTTAGGTGGATACAACTGCTCAGAGGGGTTCCCACACTACCATGTGGTCCATGAGATACAAGGCAAAGGGCTACTGGTGCATGGGGATGGCTTCACCCAGCCTACATCCTCAACCCACCACCAGCCTCAGCTGCCAAGCCATTTAAAATCTATCAGAGTGTCAGACAAGAGTCTGCTGGGTGGTCTTGCAGCTATAGGACAAATTGGTCTTGACTCACCACCTGTGCAGAAGTGACCTTGACTGTGAGTGTTTAAGATGATGACCAGACCAAATGTGCAAGCAGGTAACGGGCAAAAACATCACTACTTAGTGTATTGACTTCATTGATTTTAAAAACTGATGGAAACCTTGAAGTAGTGGAACCTTGAATCCAAAAGCCAAGTGTGAGACACATGCAGGGTTTGCTGCTACGCATCCTGCTGCTTCACTGCCAGGGAACGACAGAGAAGGCAAATCTGCACCATCCCTGACCCCTGCAGCAAGGGATGGACATCCAAAGGACTAGGCTGCCATGTGAAGGCATTTCAGGGCATTTACCTCACAAGCTTTGATATGTTCGTTCTGCCATTCTTCACGGATCTTCTCCAGTGTGGTAACATTCTGCTGATAACTCCTGTCTGAGAGGGAAATCACATTGTCATCTGATTAACATTAATTTTCAAGAAAAAAAAAAATCTTTGCTAGAAGGTAATATGTGAAGCCTGAAATAGCTGGGATGTCAGGGAGAAAGCAGCAGCAATGTCTGAGTTCGGCTGTGGGTGGGCACTGCAAGGAGAGACAGAGCCACACAGCAAGGTGGAGGGTCATGCTGCGAGAGCAGCCTTGGTGGGGCCATGCGTGCTTCTTCAGGGCAGGTGTCCACCTCCAGTATCTTGGACATGTGTTTCCATGCCTGATCCAAGAGCTGGAGTTCACCCAAGCTGTGCCATGGCTTCACAACCCCCTGTCCCAGGAAACACTTCCCTCAGCCTCCAAACACTGCACTTCCATGCTCACCAGAGTCCTCCAGAGCTGATTTTGTCTGGGCCAGCTTCAGGAACAGCTGCCAAAAATGAGAGAGAGAAGAAAGGTAGAGGAGAGCCCAGTGCATCACTGACAGCACTGCAGCCCAACTGGGGAACATCACCAGCCTTCTCATCTCACAGAATCACAGAATGGTGGGGTTGGAAGGGACCTCAGGAGATCATCCAGTCCAACCCCCCTGACAAAGCAGGTTCCCCAGAAAAGCATCCAGGTGGGTTTTTAACATCTTCAGAGATGGAGACTCCACACCCTCTCTGGGCAGCCTGTCCCAGGGCTCCGTCACCCTCACAGGAAAGAAGTTTTTCCTTAGGTTTGTCTGGAAATTCCAGTGTCCCAGTTTGTGCCCATTGCCCCTTGTCCTGTCACTGGGCACCACCGAGAAGAGCCCGGCCCCATCCATTTGGCCCCCGCACTTCAGGTATTTATAGACATTGATCAGATCCCCTCTCAGGCTGCTCTTCTCCAGACTGAACAGTCCCAGCTCTCTCAGCCTCTCCTCACACGGGAGATGCTCCAGGACCCTCATCATCTTTTGTCTCACCCCAATCCTCGAAAAAAACTTCATCCCAAAAGCTGAGAAAAGAGGCACGGGGCAGGAAAGCTGCAAGAAGAAACACCCTTTTCTCCTCCTGCCCCACAGCTACCCTCCTCTCCGTACCTTCTCCTGCTGCTTCTGCGTCACCAGGTTTGCGTTGCGGTGCACAGCCTGTTCCGCCTCGTCCTTATCCCTGCAGCGCTGCTCGTACAGCCGCTTGGCCTAGGAGAACCACCAAACGAGGCAGGAGCGTGTCAGCAAGCAACGAGATGCAAACACACCTCACGTGGAAGGCGTTGGAGGAAAGCACAGCCCCTGAGTGAAGAGGTGGGCACAAGTGGCTAGCAGAGTAGGGGATGGCACCCAAGATCCCAGATTCCCTACTGCTTGGGCAAAACCGACCTCACAAGACAAGATGCTCTTCACTCAAGACGAAAAGCTCATGGCAGTCGAGTCCCTAACATCTAAATCGCTCATATCCAACCCTGCAAGGCTACCACCAGCCACATGGCAGATACAGTATCGGGACTTGTAAGAGAGGAGGAAGATCCTTGCGTTTAAGTTCAGCCCCAGCACTGTGCATGTGGGTGTTAGCAGCATTAACCCATATGGCAACAAACAGCAGCACGTTTGCTTTACCTCCATGGTCTTCTTGTACTGCAAATTCCTGTTCTTGTGAATCGCATCCATTATCAGCTCTATCTGTGAAGACAACAGACCCAGAGTCAGCAGGTCACTGACCATCGAAGCTCCAGCATGAACTACGTGTCTTAGGAAAGAAAGAGGCGTGGAGTCAATTGAGATGGGTTCAAGGACCTTTGTCTACCCAAAACACCTTCACAAAACACATACAAGTCATTAATCTTCTATCTAAGCCTCCACTTGTGTATGCAAAGGGGCTCTACAAATGAAATCCTAGTAATCTGTAGTACTGTATCACCTCCATAGCTTCTGGCAAAATTGGGAAGCCCACTCCCCTCTGCCAGGTCCAAACCGGTGATTCTGGCAGTTTTCCTTCATTTTCCAGACAAAGGAATTTCAAGCCAGAAGAAGTTAAAGAGCTTGCCAATTTTAGCAGACCTTATGGAGATCATACAGCACTATACAGACGCTTTAAAAACATCCCTAGTTGAAGCTGGTGGTCCTGAAGATGAGCCCCTGCTATAGTTGGCCCCAAAAAGTGCCCAAAGGAGAAGACGTGGCAGTGAGAAGAAGGAAGTCGGAGGTTGCTGCACAGTTCACCAACATGGTTGCAACATGTAGGAAGGAGCTCAGGACTTCCTGGCAGTGGCAGGCACCAAGGGCATGGAGGGGGCTGGGCATGGTGGGAGACACCAGCCTGGAGAAGCCCATCACCAGGGCAGGATTGACATCCTGCAGCAAAGCCGTGTGCTCCTGTGGTGACTGACCTTTTTCCGATGCAGTTTTTGCTTTTCCCTGAACTCCTCCATTTTCTTTGCTTCCTCCCGAAGGGTTTGTGCCAGCTGGATGTGACTTTGCCCCACATTGTCTATCTCTGCAAAGAAAAACAAAATTTATATATATTTATATATTTATATACTATATATA